AAATGTGGCAAGTTCAGCATCTATGAGATCACTGTCTGCAAGAAAAGTCATGTTTGTTACATGAACAGCATGAGGATATGCGCTGTCCTGCTGGAATGTTGTCATATCAGGAAGAGCCCACAGAAGGAGCAACAAGTGAGGACCCAGGACGTCATCAAAGAAACTCTGTGCAGTCAGGTTGCCTTCAATCACTTCAAGTGAAGAACTTCTGTGAAACCCGATAGTGACTACACACTCCTTCCCAGACTGCAACACTTGGACCTTTCCATGACATTGACCATGCTAAATCACCTTATCACCTGTGTTGAATCAGCTCTGTCACTAGTAAGGTGATTTACTGCTAAGGCAACAGCAAATGTCACTTGAGTTTATCATGGATATCAGTCATGAATGAGCAAAATAATATCAAAAACATATCAAAAAGGGGAACTAAAGTCCCTATTTCGCATATTGGTCATTAAATCTCAGAAACAAAATCAATTAATTAACATGCAAAAAAATTCAAATTAAAATCATGACATTTCTGGAAGTAATGTAAGTTGCCGTGTTGTCACAAACCCCTGGTCTCACCATGGGTGAGAACGAAAGTTTCCATGAATTGTGATGTGATGCGGCCCTTTCTGCTCACTAGTCACTGTAATGACTAATGTAAAGCAATGTCTGCTGCACAACTTGTACTTATTCGCTCATACATTTCTCTGCAGAAATGTTCCAACGTGATCTGCATGCAAGCTAACAAGTAAGTAATTTGGTTGGCAAAACTATGACAAAGTCGAAAGTAATATTTCCAATGGATTAAAAGTGATGTACAGTATTCACAAACCTGCTTGTTTACAATGTAACAGGCCGCTTCACATCACCTGAAGTTGTGTTGCCTTGTTCTGAATCTCACAATATGGTGCTGCGCATACCTGGAAATGTAATCTACTGTATTTTGTGATGTAAATTGGATGTAAAATGGTTTGAAATGCACTCATCAATGCTGATTCTTTGTAACCCCAAAATGTAAAAATAGCATTGAAATTCCCCTGGCATGAAGTGACACAGCCTTAATTTTATCACTTAAAAACAAGTTGTAAAGCAACAATACAAAATCAAATTGGAGTGTTTTGGTTTTGGAAGGTAATGGATGTTTTTTTAACACATAGCTTTTGATGAGTCATTACTTAATTTGTTCTGAAAGACTGTTATTGTAAAGAGTACTAGAAGCATCCACCCAGTAGTTTAAATATGATTCAAGGTATAAGAAAGAAGTACTTAATTACAAAGTAATTTTCTAATCTTTTTCTTGCCAGAATATGTCAGTTTAATGTGTTTGTTGATCCTTCAGTTTCATTTTTTACTCTTCTGTAAGTCTTCAGTGACATGTGTTTGTAAATAACAATTACATCCTCAGCTTTGAAGTCCTGGAATCTGCTTATGCTTGATAAACCCTTTTGTGAAAGAAATAGGATCTGTCTGTTCAGAAGTCACGGGGTCTTTATTTTATTTGGTAAAGTCACTTTCAGAAAAATAATATTTTTAAAAGAAAAGTAAATTTAATCCTGGCCTAGGGGACCATGAGGTAGCAAATTGGTTTGGTGTGGTGGGTTTTATCTTGTTAAAGTTTGAGAATAATTAATGAAAACATGTTTACTGTTTGAAGTTGTTTCCTGGCAATCTAGGTAAACAGAGATTAGCATGTTTGAAAGAGACTGTTGAAGTGTTATTATAAAAAATAACTTTCTGTGATGTCACAGTAAACATTATATTGACTGTATGGTTGTTCAAAACAATTATAAGGTTGATAAATGTCTTCATGTTACTAAATGACTGGTAATTTAGACAGCTCAATAGATAATAATGAGCATGTAATCTGTTATCTATTTCATAAAATTAAATTAAATAATACTTGATTATGCTTTTGCATTGTATATTGGTATATGTACTGCATCAATACTTGAGTATACCTGCTGCTCACAAGCTATGAGTGTAACAGTGCTCTGATGAGCCATGAGCTGGGTGCCTCAATTTCTTTCATTTCTAGAATTCAAACTCACAAGACATATCTTGTCATACTTTGGCTAAACATCTGATAATCCTGTCAAGTAAGCAGGAATGCCTTTCAATCACCAAAAAGGCACCATGAAATATGTACATATTTGTATGTACAGATGACAGTTCTCATCATTTCAAAATATACAGTATTATTAGAAAAAATAAAAATAAAAACTCTACAAGAATGTATTTGTACAGCAAAGTAATTATAAGAGTGTAATTATAATTATAATTAAATTTGTTTGAAAAAGCCAAATTTAATGAATAAGCTTACATTAACTAAAATATAATAAATAACAGAACATTCACATCAATTTTCCACGTTATAATGTAATAACATCTTACAAATCAAATATTTAGATGATGTATAACTTGTAGACTTAAAGTTGTACTTTAAGCTAAATACTGCAAACAAATCTACACTTTATTTTTCAGAAAGGCTATGGGTATAAAGGAAGTAAATTTCATCGGGTCATAAAGGATTTCATGATACAAGGAGGAGATTTCACTGCTGGAGATGGAACTGGAGGTATAATGAATTCTTTTTAGATTCAGGGCATTAAGCTTTCGGCATTGGAATCTGTGATTTGAAATCAGAAACTTTGCTCCTTTGAGCAATATTGCATGTTGCTCATTTTGCATATTGCTCATTTGTGCTACTGTACACCTTGTCCTTTCCAAGGAAAGGAATGGTGACTGTATTATCCTAATACAGTGAAACAAATAATATTAACACTTTCATATAACATTGTCTTCCCAAAGTAAACCAAAGCGCATTACAGGTGGGAGGGGCCTAAGTCTATCCACCATTGAGCTGCAGCAGTTTTTGGAGGGGCACGTGGCTGTCATTTTGCCCCAGGAGCACTCTACAAAGCAGATAAGGTGTAAAAATGAGGAGTTTCTTGGAATTACAGCACTTCAGATAGTGGCATGAGACCTCTAGTGACCACAGTAGTAGTCACTACTTAATTCTTTTAATAGGTATCTAAATATGCTGTTACTTGAGATGGCTTTACTTGAGATTATCTTTATTTGAATGTTTAATCTAATATTTGACATTCTAAAACAAACCTCTTCTAGTGTATCTGCTATTTAAACTCCCTTAACAATTCATAGTCCCAAAGAATATGAACAAACCCAAACCAAGAGCAGCAGTGTGACTAAATATACTGTACCACTATCTTTGGGCTACAGGAATTGGCTTTCACTCTCTTTAACCCGCTTTGAAAACCAATCTTTTGCTGTATGCACATGCCAACCTAATGCATCAGCTCTCTTCTGGTTTGGATTGAGAAATTGAACGAGATGAATGCTTCATAAACCCAAAACTCTCTTCCCCATTTCAGATTTTTTTGTTAGTAGCACTAATGGAATATGATCCAATGTGATGCTGTGCAAGACATGCATGTTGTATGGCTGTATAGTGAAAATGTAGGACACTACAGATGTCTTGCTACTGTGATATGCATTGCATTTTTTTACTTTCTGCTGTCCCGCATGAAATTAATATGTTCTTGCTCTCCGTCTTTGTTATGAATCCTGTTCTCAGAATATATACATATTATACATCATAGGCTATTGAGTTGTGATGTCTTTTTAATGTTCTTTCAATGATTCGAAACAAATGCCTTTGCAAAATTATAAATAGGGACGATTTGGGTGTTTTAATTAATGATAGATTAATGCATGGATTAAATTAAAACTATTAACTTGTAACTTTTTTTATTTTACAACAGGCAAGAGTATTTATGGGGTAACATTTCCAGATGAGAACTTCAAACTAAAGCACCTGGGAACTGGATGGGTCAGCATGGCAAATGCAGGGCCTGACACCAATGGTTCCCAGTTCTTTATTTTAGCTACGAAAGCTCCCTGGCTTGATGGAAAACATGTTGTGTTTGGAAAGGTTCTTGAAGGAATGGTATGTGATATTTTCATGTGTTTATAGACTGGAAACACTCTGAATTTAAGAAAGAAGTAATGTTTTTTTCATAAATTTGAATTAAAGACCCATTAAAAGGAACTCCAACAGTGTTAACATCCACATAGTGTCCGAGTAATCCATGTAGTGTGGCATTAGTCTTTATACTTTATACTTCCTTATGTGTTGGGGTGGCAGAGTTTGGTTTACTTTGACACATTATAGAATCATTATTGATGGGACTGCCATGGATGGCTAGGAAATAAATAGTCAAAAAGCAAAGCACTAGAAGTATAAAAACATATACTGTACATCTAAGAGAAGTTCCAGAAAACGCAACCCAGGTTTCTTGAAGGGAACACTAAGTACTTCCTATAGTTTGTTACACATAAATGTAGATCAGTAAAGATGCCTTGTCACTAGCACATCCATGTCAGATATGAAATTATTTTTTGCCAAATGGAATGGAGTGACTATATTAGCTGAGGATAAACCTGGCCCTAAAGGGCAAAAGTCCTGTAGGTTTGATAGATTTTGGAAACAAGACCATGTTTGTTTAATGCTGTAACGGAGTGGTGGCACTGTGGCTAAGGATCTGCGCCTGTGGCTGGAAGGTTGCCGGTTCAAATCCCACGGCAAGCAGAGGAAACCTTCTCCATTGGGCCCCTGAGCAAGGCCCTTAACCCCAACTGCTCCAGGGGCACCGTAGAAATGGCTGACCCTGTGCTCTGACCCCAAGCTACTCTCTGGCCGTCTGTGTTCCTGTGTCTCATGGAGAGCAAGCTGGGGTATGCGAAAAGACAAATTCCTAATGCAAGAAATTGTATATGGCTAATAAAGTGATCTTATCTAAATATTTGGTTTTGGCTAATAGTGTGATTGGAACACCTGTATCCATTGAGTAGCTGGGGTGCTCATCAAGTTAATATCTGTAGCTCTCTTCTATTGGATTTTTTTTAGGTAGGAAACTAATGGTCAGTGGAACTATTGCCCATATTGGACTCGATCCAAATGCAAATATATCATTTAGTTCAGAGGAGGTCTAAAATATATGCTGTAGACTGGTTCAATTTACTCTTCCAAATGGGAAAAGCCTTACTGTAGGTAACAGCAGTTGCTTAGACCTGGAGGGGGTGATTCTTCTGTTCTTAATTCACAATTTAAACATGTAGTATGTAGAGAAAAGCAGGTTTAGAGATTCCAATCTGTAACTTGTCTATATTTTTCTTTTCAGTCTGTTGTTCACACCATAGAACTTCAAGATACAAATGACAGGAATGTGCCTTACCAGGACTGTGTGATAGTAAACAGCGGGAAGATTGATGTGAAAGAGCCATTTGTGGTTGAAGTGGAGGGCTGGTAGTAAGTGATAAGTGGACGAAATACAAGACACAAACCATCACGTTTAAGGAGAAGAAATGTCATTATAGTTCACTTTTAAAAAAAACAACAACTTAAGGGCTGCTATGCATTAGTCTCAAACTGATTGTTTTTCAAAAAGTAGTTAATGCTTTTTTAACTGATCTTTTACTTAAACTTATTCTGCAATAACCACCAAATATATAAGATCAACAGCATGTTGCACTGATTCTTCCAGCTGTATTAACAGGGGACATTAAGAGATGAGTCATTTTTCAGTATTTCCCAATTTACTATGTATTTAGTTAATGAAATGTATAAATTAACTGGTTTATGCATTTTGGATCATGTACAAGACAACCCTTGCCAAAACTACTGGAAACGCCCTGTGAATTTTGGATGTTAAATAACAGTTTGCATGTAAACCACTGGCATTTATTTAAGGATGTTTTTCTTGATTTTATAACTAGATTTTATTTGTTCTGCAGTGTGCTTGAATTTCTTCTAATGTCCTTCAGGGCATATGTTTTCCAATACTTTGACTATAGTTACAGTACCATTAGGTTTTCAATGGGATGTTGTTGGTCATGCTGTGGCATCTGTCCTGTTATACTCATAATATATCCCCTTAATTTCTTTCTCAGACATCAGAGCTGACTGAGATTATTCCTGGGTTTTTATCTGCTGTTAAATACCGGTTTTCACTGATTTTGTTGCAGATTAATGTGTATGGGAGCCATCACGGGTTTGTCAAGACACACTTCAAGCATGTAATTTACAAAATGAAAAAATATATGCATCTTAAATACCAGTAGAAGAAAATATACTTTTGAAAGTCATTTAAAGATTGCCATTGTTCAGTTCTTGTATTGTGTAATAAAGTAATTTGTGCAACTGCACTACTTACTAAACTGTTCAAATCTGTATTCTATTTATACAGTTGCAGACACCCAATGTTCTACATCAAATCAGAGTACTGTATTTGGCTATGCAGGGAATGTTTTGGTACTTTTGAGTCTGATAAGTGATAAGCTAATGCAGTTTATTTAAACATCATTAGAATAGCTGTGGTCTACAATATAGTGAGTTTGTGTATTTGTACAGTATAGTCAGTTTGTGCATTAAACAAATTGAAGACAAACATTTTAATTGTTGATAATCATGCATTATTTACCAAATAATTGCCAAATATTAAAAACATGATTGTACTTTGTGGTACGGACATCTTAATTCTGTGTTAATGTTTAAATACTGTCTTATTAACACTAAGTGATATACTTCAGTGTGGCAAAAAGGTGACTATAAATGTCCAGGCAATAAATAACAGGTTTGATAATCTTTTTTATTTACTAAAGTCTTTCAAATTGTGCATGTAAAATACTTTTAATTGTAACAGTAGCTAAGAAGTGAGACCTACCATCATCTTGAACTGTTAATAAATCTTACTATTTTACAGACAAGAGAATTTCACATTCAATAAAAAGGATACAAAGCAAGAACGTTTCTTATGCTTTATTATTCTGTATGTGTTTGCAGTTTTAGTCTGTACACACAAAGTGCTAGAATACCACAGTTGCATCTCAACATCAAGTTTTCACATGTCTAATCTGTGCCTAGGCCAACATTTTATAAAATTACAAGCATGAGTAAGCTTTAATTTAATAATAAGAGCACTCTGCGCCACAGGGTGCTCAGTATTCACAACCCAAATATGACCAGCTGCTGGCTTGAGTTCTAAGCATTTTCCAAGATTCATTTTGGAAGAAAACTCCTGAAGGAGCTTTCCTACAATAACTGGAAGACAAATTTCACAATCATCTTTTATGTGTCTTGGGATCCTAGGACCATCAAGAGTATTGATATAAGTGGCATATTGATAAGAGCCAGCTTACACAAAGTGTATTTTCTTTCACAGACATACTGTAGTACATAATGAACTTAAATATGTATGAACTATTTTGTTTGTATTACTTTAAGCGTTAAATCAGCAAATACAACATTAAAGCTTTATTTGCTCTGTATTCTCAAACGTTGATATAGCGGCAAAAATGAACAAAGCAGCTGAATAAAAGCAAAGACTTGATATTTTACATTTTCTTTTTCCAAAAGGTTGCTAACTCACTGTCAAAGATTTTTTTTGTTTTAAATGTACATTCTACAGTACATATAGAATACAACGGAAATTGTATTATAAAATGTCAGCTTAAATTAAACTATCATGAGTTTGTCACAGTTTTAATCAGTTATTCTAGGTAGTGTTAATGTAAGATCATGTTACCATGATTTTCCTACTGCAAACTGCTGTAGTTCAAAACCTTCTTACTAGTGCAAAGACAAGTTTTTATTATTTGCTTTCAGTGTAGCTTTGCAATATCCCTTTCAAATAGCACGCAGCATTCCTCCATTTTGATTCCAGTTTGGCTCACGTTATTTCAGAAAACATACAACTATAAATCCAATTTGAATCTACTTTATAATTCTAAATAGCACCAATCTCATTGCTTGTCATTGTTATTTATAGTGCAATAATATAGGCCAAAATTGTCTGCTGGTATCATAAAAAAAAACATTTAGTGTTCTAAAATCCCTTTTGTCCAGTTTTCCTTATTCATTGCATTGTCTATTTGGGTTGAAGATCTGGATAGAATATACCATGAATAACTCCTTCAATAACCACATTTGGAAACGTATCTGAAAGGAAAAAAAGAACAAAAACAGCTATTACAAGAAGCAGAAAATAAGTTTCTACATATGCTGCTTTTGTGAGAAGAAAATAAAAAACAAAGACTGTTGCTAGTGTGCATCTGTAGTTTCAGCTGAGCATGTGGTTCTGACTGAGTAAGATGATGATTATTGGTCTCGGGTCAAAGAAACCACAAGCTCTTGTGCATTGCATGAAGTCAAAGCAAATGGAACACATGTAAGAGCAATTAAAAAATGAAAATCTCCTGAAAGTACAAAACTATCAACAGGGCTCTTGTTCTAATTGTGTAAAACAGCCAGCTTTGTAAAATCTATAAGTATTTGTAATCAGCGTAATTACTGTTCGTTTCACATGGGTGCATCAGTGTTACTGTCAAGTGTTTCAATTTATATCTGTTCTCGGGTTAATAAATGTCCAGTCAACTGAAGAAATCTTTAATGTTAGCGGCATGTGTCCTGTCTCTAGATACAAAATAAATAAAATGGCAAAATCAGGCAGTTAACTTTAATTGGACTCTTCCAGAAGTGTAAAGTGTATGATTAGATTAAATCATAAAATACAGGACAATTCATTAGTCGGTGTTGAAAATTCCCCCTTAAATGGTACAGATATGAACCTGATGGCAGTGGGTAAACAACACTGGGCAAAAAGGTCAGTCTGAGAAGAGAAATATCAGCAGGAACATCCACCAAATGTTTAGACTGAATACAGTACATTCTATCACTGTTTTTTTTTATTTTTGAATGTACGACAGACTTTTTAAAAATTCTTATACAATATATGCTTACAAAAGGATGATTAGCAAAAATCTAGATTGCTTAGCACATAACTGGTGGCTCTGAGAAATTCACATATTAGGATTTGAGGCAAATGAAAGCATCAATGGACATGGGCAAGTTACTATGGGCAGTACAGTGGCACTGGAGTTAATGCTGCTGTTTCACAGCTCTTTGATCCTGGGTTCAACTCTTTGTAGAGTTCAAATTTTACTTCTGTATCTGTTTGGTCAGTTTGGTCAGTTCCAAACCTTCCTACTAGTGCAAACACAAGTGTTATTATTTGCTTTCAGTGTAGCTTTGCAATATCCCCTTTTAATATTCAAGCATCGTTCCTCCATTTTGATTCCAGTTTCAGAAAACGTACTACTGGTGCTCTGGTGCTGGTAAAAACAACTGGTGCTCTAAATTCTTTTTTCTAATTGCACACCTAGTGATGGACTGGTGTCCTGCCCAGGGTGTGGGCTGCCTTTTGCCCTTTGCCCTCTGGCTCACTACCAGCCTTAAGTATAAAGCAGCTTCAGAAAACGGATCAATGGATGGAGTTTACATAACCAAGAGAAGGCATTCTGCAATCAGAAAGCAAATCTGAATATTCTTGTCATTTTTTAACAGAATAAAAAAAGGACTATGAAACACATAAAAGTTAATGAAATATAAAGCTGTAATTTTGCTGACATGTTGCAGAGGACACATATTCACGTCACTCTCTAAGGCAAGGGCCTCTCTTTAGCTGGTTTATGTGATGAAGGGTGTAACTAGTAAAGTGCTGTTAAAGGATGACAGCTTTCATTACCATCAGCTGCAGGCAAGACATACGGATCCCTTAGGAACAGCAGAACCGGCTGGTGGGACAGTTTACTGGAAAGGTCAAGAACAGGAATGTCAGCACCAGTGGACGCTAAACAGAAAATACCTCAAACTCCATGTGATAAAGTGAGGCAATCAATCTGCGTGGTAAGAAAGTGACGCAGGCTGTGTGGTTTTGAACATTTGCGAAGCCAAGCATAATTCGCTCAAACACCATAAAACCATTTTATTTTAATTTTGACATGCGTAGTTGCAATGCTCTCTAATGGCATACGGGGCAACTCTTTTATTAAGTATGTGATTATATAGCCTTATATAAAAACTAATACCACAGCATCCTCCTGCTTCTACTTATTGTGTAACTATACATCACATTTTCCTGGATGAAATGGATATCTTACAGCACTTTTTCCTTTTCAAACAGCACATACAGTATACAAGAGGCACAGTCTCCTGTTAGCAGCCCATAGTGGTGTATGAGGTCTTTTAAGGGCTTCAGTGTTAATTATCTTCATCCATGTGGTCTGATGCAATTACATGGCAAGTTCAAACCTAACAAACTGTTAAAATTATGTCTGAATACTTTGTTGTTCTTTGGCCTTTTCATTATTTATGCTATAGCAATGTGGATATTTGGACCAGGCTACTAAATGCAATTAATTTACTTTTAAAAAAACACATGGGAAAACAAAATTGCATTAAAAATGATTCCACCGTTAATCTACAATAAAATTGAAGATTACTCTGACATTAATTCATTTTATGGAGTTGACTATTTACTACATTTTCCCAATTTACTAAACAGTGTTGAATTGTTGTGTTCTGTATTGTTCAAGTTGTGTTGTTTTCAGTTTATGTGCAGTTAACTAACAGTCTAAATTATTCTGTTGCAATTTTTCCTTGTCCAATGTTTTCAGATGAAAAGCTACTGAATCCTGTTCACATTGTCTCCTGGCAGAACATTTACACAGGAAAGTAATCAGCTTCCAAAATGTTAGCATATTATTATTTTATTTCAATCTTAATTTAAGTTTTGAGATTTCAAAATCAATTAGAAAGTGATATTAGATCATCTCTCACATTATTTAGCACAAATCCTGCTGCTACACTACATGTCATCTGGAGATAATCACTGGTTACATCAGAAGACCCAAAGGATGTGACTAAGTCTCACATATTTAAATTATTACAAGACATTTTATTTGCTGAAGGAACAAAGTTTTTCAGAAAGTTCTTCTGGCCTTTGTAGAAAAGGCCAGAAAAATTAGGTTTAAGGGAATAAGATGAAAGAAAAATAACTGGTGAATAAGTAGGCAAAACAGGAGGTTATACACATTTTAAGCTGCAGCATATTGTAAAGGACAAACTGAATGATTTTTAATGTAAACAAATTATTAAATAAACCTTTTCTTGATTAATCCCCAAGGTATTAAATATATTAAATATAACATGGACCATAACTTGAATGCTTTTTCCAGATTGGATAACTGCCTGAAACACATTCAGTATACATACCTTGATTCTTCTGTTTCAGTTTCATCAAAGGATCTGGAACAGTAAGAATTCAAACAAATCATAATCAATTTAATTTGGCTTATGAAAAGACAACTTTTAAAAATATATAAAATCCTAAAACCTTACCCACAACTCTCTGTTTTTGGCAAAGAAGGAAAGTGGCGAATGTTAAGGAAATCGAGAAATATCTTTGGAAGAACTTCATTCTCTGTGATTATAGTCTGTAAAACAATAATCAGAATAAAAAACAATATCATTAAAATATGACCATAGGCTACAAGACTCGTGCCTTGATACTAATAATGTATATTATAATAATGTGTATAATGACTTTATGAGAGAAAAATGTATTATTGTCAGCACCATTCAACATCCTGAGGTTGCTTGATTACTCTTGGAAAACAATTAGCCTTAGATGTTTTCACCTTCGAAGATAATTTTAATTCCTTTTTCCCCCTTTATACAGTAAATCCCTGACCACTAATGTACATTAATTTGGACAGAGGTATGGATTCCAACATTCAAGTCTACCAGTTCATAACAACAGATTAACAATACAAACAAGATATTCTGTGATTTGAAAACACCCATAGCTATAAATGGTGAAAGGAAAGGTATAATATGCTGTATCATATTCTATTCAAGTGAAATGAATCTATTAAGGTTTTCATTAAAGTGAAATTAATCAGATGCATTGGATCAGTTACAAAATCCACAAATCAACAAATACATTAGCCAGCATATGCTTAACAAGGTTCTAAACTAACACATTGGTATCAAATCAAGCTCAGATGTTCCAATCAGAAATAACCCATTTGAATTGTATCAATACATATTTTGTATTTGAATTCCAGTCTCTTGATGAGGGGTAAATAAAAATAAGCTACATCTTTTCTGTTTCTTCTTTTTTGCAATTTCGGTATCATCATCTACAAGGTCCAGTGAATGCAGACCTGCACATTGTGGAGATCAGTCACACAGTATTGGAATTGCAACAGTGGGTTCCAAGGTTTTGAGGTCATTTTTAATGATGTCAGGTGGCAATATGAAATGTGGGCCTGATTTGTTGATTTGGACCTGGCATATCTTGCAATTTACAGTTTGATTTCCGCTCAACATTGCAAATGCTGCAATGAAGTCTCCAGAGTACTGTGAATGAAGCTGAGTGGCACCATTCACATTCAGACAGTCTAACAAGCTAAATATCTACCTGTCTTTGAACAACTAGTTGGAACCCTATTTATTGCTTAAACAATGCTTTAAACAAGATTTCATCCCCTTTTAGGTTTAAAAAAGATGTCTCCCTGTAGATTTTATTGATTGCCTACACGCGCTTGTGCAGTGGCATCCTATATAACTAATTGTCAGAATCTTTTCTCTTTCTCTTTCAGTAGTTAAAACATAGTCACAAAATTACAAAGGGACTTGTTCAGCCTTAACCTCAGCTAGATGCCATCATGCAGTGGAAAACAGTGCTAAAATATCACAGGATAATGCTGTCCGACAAGGGAGAGGTATAAACAGCGTAATGATTTCCCTCGAGTTTCTCTTCAAGAGAATTGTCACTAAACCCAGCATAAATGGTGACATATCTTCACTAAGGACACTGGGAAATCGAACACTGGCATTCTTTTTAGGTCCAAGCCTACTCATCAGCCAATTATAGTGGTAACTGAGGAGTTTGCTGAAAACCCAGACGAGAACAGTTTGCTAACCTTCTGAGATTATGATTGTGTACACTGCCACACAATTTCAACAGTCTTCAGAACTCTGAAGCCCCCGGCAGATTCTAATAAATGAATTACACATACAAGACCGAAGGACTCGCAGACTGCCAAACTGGCTTTTAAGTATTTTCTCAGCTGCTAACAATAACTCCAATTGTTTGAGTGACAAATATGCAATTGTCTTCAGCATTCTTTACTAAAATAAATACGGTATATTAACCAATCGCACTCTACAGCTTCTAATTTAAAAATGTGTCTCCTAAAAGATACAGATTGTATTACAGAATTTTACGTAGGTAAACCATCATAAAACTATTTACTTAATATAGTAAATTAAAAATGAGTTTTCTTAACAACAACTGAACCATTTTACTTGCATGGTATTTGTTTAATTATGAAGCTTAAATATATCAAGCAAGATCTCAATTTCCTACCCAGCATGTTCACACAATGTGAAAAATGTGTTAATAAAATGGTACTATTAGTGGCTGTGGTGTATGGGTATTTAGGGTAAGAAATGCATTTTCCTATAAACATGAACCTTATCAACAATTCTTATTGCACAACCTCTCTTGTCTCCACTGGCTCACCATAAACATCAGCACAGTAAGGATTATGAAAAAGCCTATCATGTTAACCCATTCCCTAATCTGACTCCTTAATACACAAAATAGTGTAACAGCTTCATTGGTTTCACTAAAATTTATACCTAACTGTCTATTAGGATTGGGTTTGTTGTATGTTATCCATGTAAGTGATAATGATTGACAAAGACTAGAAAACTAAAAAGTGGAGTATCATTCCATTTCTCCTCTGTTGAAACAAACCTTCTCTTTTTCAAAGTCACGATAAAATCATCCATTATTTTATACTTCAATATATTCTACTTACTAAGATCAATGTTGGACAAAAACTGTCAAATTAAAACAAACTGTAACTGATTTAATTTAAACAACACTTTAAATATAACATTCATAAAAAGGATGTCAACACTTTGTACTCTTAATATTCATAATGTAAATTAAACTGTATATTGCCTTATTACTGTATTTGTAATAACTTAAGAGTAATCTCTCTACTTGTGTGACTACTTGTGTTTACTTTGCAATTGATATAAAAAGTCTACTAACTAGAAAAAATTACTGTTAATGCAAAGAAGGGAAATGGGATTCTTCTAGAAACAATGATGTTCTGTACAATAAGATATATATATAGAAAAACTTCCATGACAGTAAAACTTTAATAAATTGAAGTATTTCTATTGAAATGGTATTAGTAATGAGCAAAAAGTCCAATTTAAATTTTAGATGAAATAAATGGTAAAACCTAATAACAAGTAATTCAATACAATAGAGGAGTACAGCTTCTTTTTTAACCCCTCTTGTACCCAGAACCACACAAGAGGTCTAGCAAAATGCATCTGTGAGGTGCCATTTTACAGCATAAGTTTTCTAGTTTGTCTTACTGCTGTTTTTCTTCCTATCATATATGATGGGTCAGTGAAAACTCCCTGGAGCCTGCCTGACATTCCCATTGAAACTAATTACTACAAAAAGCAGGTGTCCATATCAAGTCACAGCACAAGACTGCAGAGAGCCCTGGGAGTTCAGTGCACTTAGGGTTAATGCACTCATTTCTTAGAAACTTCGCCAGGCTTGAAACAATGCATATGTAATCCGATTCACAAAGAAGCATGAGGGTAAATTGATTGATTTTGTTTTTAGAAAAAACACAAAAGCACAACCATATATATTAAAGAAATGGTTAAAAATACCAGATGCATGCTGTTTTCAGATTTATAAACCAATCTGTACGTCAACAAACATTTACTTATTTATTACTCACAAGACTGCCAAAATGCCCTTCAGTCATTAACTTAAAAAATGACATTATGTCTATGCCAGGTCTGAAGAAACTAACATCTACAGATTTGTGATGAGAAGGATCAGCTAAGAATGAAGACCGCATGCTGTCCAAATGTGTGCGGAAGAGGGGGAAAAAGGGACAGGTGGAGACTTTCTTCTTCACTGCCTGCTCAAAATGGACGCACTGCACAAAATTATTTAAAACTTCAAAGGAACAAGTCAAGTTAATCAACACTTCTCATCTAATTCTCTGTGGCAAAATAGGGAAAGCTGAAGAATGAATAGGGCTAAATAAGCATGCCCAGCTCTGCTGCCTCACAACTGCAGGAGCAAATCAATAGCAGCTGAATGCCATCTGCTTCGGGCAGCAGAACACCACCAAAAGTGTGAGCCATGCATCTTCCCGTATTGAAAGGTTATTTTTATGCGAGTAAACAATTCATCCTCTTCCTGCACGCTTGATGCTCATTTACCACATTAGATCAATACAATATGCAAAACAACAAAAAATTGAATCCTAAGAGTGGTTCTGATGCCAGCGTGATGGCTAATCGATATTCACACCACTCAGTCAGACACCAAGTAGGGAACGCTTCGTAGTGAGAAATGCAAATGATTTTAAGCTCCAATGCTAAAATTTAAAACATTTACTGGTTGCTTATAAATTAATATATACAGGCAGACGGACAGTATAGAGACAGCAAGATCAGCTCATAAGATGTCAATTTGATAGTAGTTTATAAAGTGAAGTGTAAATTAACAAATGCACTAGCACCTTATTAGTCATACACTGTACAGTTTCGAAACCCATTCTTCTGAATCAGAAAGTATTATTCTTAATACCTATGGTATGGTTATATGTCAATGAAATGCTCTCTAGAAATACTATAAAAATAGGGGATTGTAAACATGATGGAATATTTTGAAATGTCACTTTACTAGATACTGCATTTGTATTTTTTCCCCCCAAGCACTTTTCCATTAGTAATACATCAGCTTTTACATAAGTAAAGAATGTGTGTCACCATATCATGTGTCTGTTTGGAGGCATCATAGCTCTGAGTGAAACTATCCAACCTGTAGTAGTGCATAATAGAAAAGGCAGAAATTTCCAGTGCATGCACTGTTAACCACACTGAACCTGTTACAGCTCTAAAGGGAATTGTTTGCCTCTTATTAGATTTTCTACAGCACAGCCATAAGTGATAAATGTACTGCTGTATTCACTGTCAAGTTAATCAATGCTGCCAAAGTTTTGTTGACCTAACAGCAATCCATAAAGCGAGCTGCGTTTTCTGTCTCCCTATGACATCTCAGTCCACAGTGGGGCTATGAAGTCTGAAGCTTCTTCAAAAGGGAATGGTGTTTGAAATACTGTCTACAAATTGAAATACTGTCTTTAAAGCAGCCAATTGCCGTGATGCCTTGCCTGTCTAAGAAATTGTCTAAAAACCATAGTCACTCAAATGGATCCAGTTTGATGGTTAAAACACTGGCAAATCGATAACTTCACAGATGATAGAACCTTGTCAAAAAAAAAAACATGCATGTGCCTTCAAAAGAAAACCCTTGTTTCCAGAAGTTACTGCTCTAAAGCATTAAGGAAGCAAACAATTCCAGGGAAATCGG